AATTAAAATTTTTTTGAAAAATATAGAACTCTCATCCCTAGTTGACAGCTCTAAATTTTCATCTTCCATTCAACCCATTCCTTGGGCCTTTGTAAAACATGTTTGTGACTGAGCATGGCTATGTGTGTATTTGCTTGTACAAATGTACTGACATTTGTACATATTTGTCCAATGTTACCAGAAATTGTTTGTAGTGAAATGCATTGTGAATGGTTTTCATTATCTATCTATGTGTTACACAACTGACATGATTTTCTAAATATAAATATAAATAAATATTCAGCATCCCTTGGTGTGTAAAACCAGAAATTAGGTACTGGATAGTTTTACAGCATGCCACATATTACACACTGTTAAGCTGTTTGCCTTTAGTAGAATAGCATAGGTATACATACATATTCTTGAGCAGGAACATGCTGAAATCATAATACTACTATTTACTATTGATAGTCATTAAGGTGTGGCTTTCAATACACAATTCCGTTATTTTTAGTAAACAAATTTAAGAGTAAAATTTGGAAAACTGAGTATCATAATTTACAAGAGCTATTCAAGTTTAAGAATAAAGATACTGCTATAACCAAGTCCCATGCACTAAAAGTCATTTAACAATTAACATGTAAGGGCTGAGGATTTAGCTTAGTGGCATTAACATCTGCCTGACAAGTGCGTGGTTGTGAGTTCAATTCCCAGTACCAAAAAAAAAAAAAAAAAAAAAAAAAAAAAAATAATAATAATAATAACATAGAGACTTCAAGAAAACTATTTTTCTCAGAGTAACTTTATCATGAATACTACCCTGAAGGAGCTTTGATTGTAGCATAACGTATTTATTGGAGTGAGATAATTTTAGAATTATGGTTACTACTAGTATTGATAATAATTACAATTGTGAACATGGGACTAGCGGTTGAAGAAATGTGGTGGTTGATAAAAATAAATGCCATTTATCCAATGGGTAAAACATCTTTTATTTTTATTTCTAGAACATTTTTGTTGGGTTGTAAGTTTAGTGCATTGTTTATAAATATATCACCATTAGTGGATGTGTCGATATAACTTAAATTGATTCTATGCCAGAAATCTCCCAGTCTGACAATCACATAAATCTTGTAGTGTCCAGCTGAGTGCTAGTGGACACTGCCTGCCTTTGTTTCCATTGTAAAAACTGAAGTAGCTTCACGGTAAAAATGAAATTTAAAAACTCTTCTCCAGCACACCCGCCCATATCCTTAAGACACTCTCTATAAAAATACGTTTATTCTCACCACAGATAAGTTAATGAAGTACATGTGTCGGCAGGAACAGCAGGTGGTAAGGACCTTTGAAGAAAGAACATTTTCCCAAAAGTTCAAGTACCTCATTTGCCTTACAGACATTTTGTTCTTAATCTATTAACCTCCTTATATCCAAAACAATACGTTGTTCCACCTTTCAGCCTAATTAGGTGCTGTGTTGTGATTCTGGTTTCACAGAAAACATGTAATACCTGAATTCTACTATTGATATTGCAGCTTATTGAGGTATATAACATAATGGCACAAATCCCTTGAGTATTACTTCATCCAATGGGTTAAGAACCAAATAAATGACACCTTAATTTTGCAGAGAGACTTATTATTCTCAGTGTCACATATCTTTGGACCCTTTCACTCCTCCAGTTTCATTTGTCTTCATGACAGCTTCCACCTTGCTGGCAATGTGAATATTTTTTGCTTAAAATTATGTAATGGCTTTCAGGTTTCTTCTGGATGAAGTTCATAACTTAGCACAAGAGACAAAACTCATCCTCTCCTGGTCTTGGCTATTCCCTCTGCTCCCCTGTTCTCCTCCATTCACTTCATCTGCAGCAGGCCAGCAGAATTCAAGGCATCCACCCAGACCTCTCAGAGCTTCTAATAAGTCCATCTTTCTCCAAACCCTGAAAAGTTCTCTGAAATTTCACAAGTATCTGTGTGGAGCTGGCCTAGCCTGGATGGGGAATGACAGGGATGTTATCAGAGGCAGATGGGATGTCTTACAAGGACATTAGTGCTTCTACCAAGTGACCTTCTCTAGATACGTCAATGCAGAGATCAAAATTTTCTAGTATTTAATACAGTGCATGAAATTTAGTTAGAGTGAAACTTTAATGAGACTTTAAGGACTTCAGTTTTGCTATATTGGCAAAGGGAGAGGAAACATCACGCAGAAAGTATTCCTGAGCTAACAGAGAACCTTACACCACAGTAGACAACTGACCATGAAATAAGTCTGGAGTACACAGAGTAAGGACTTAGAGAAGTAGGGGGATTGACAATCTCTATGTGTTTTGTGCTATTAAATAAGATCTTGTAATTTAGAATTTACTGCTAGCTCTAGCCTGTCACTAAGGTCACATTAGCAGAAAGTGTCTCAAAAGATGAGTAAACAGGACTTTGCACGTTCATATTTCTTTTCTACACACTTCATTGAAGCAACTCTTGTGGTCAAGTATCAAAGATTTAATGTTATTTGAAAAAAAAGTTTATGTAAAAACACTATAGTAGTTGATAAGGAAGACACAAAATATGAAATGTCAAGAATATTATCCTGAGATTTCTGTTAGAAAGAATAATTTGCAAATGAAAATCAGAGCTCACCTGGGAATCTCACCAATAGACCAAGACACAAACAAAAATGAATCAAACTGTGACCCCAGCAGAATGACTCATTAAACCTGGTCACAATGAGTAATAGATGGTATTTTGCAGCTAACTCAGTACAAAGAGGAGGAAGGCAGTGGGGGTAGGAAGACTTTAATATTTTAGTACTGGTGAAAGGCTAAATGTTTGGGCGCCATCCACCAAGAGCGAAGACAGGAATAGCAGCAGGTTTGGGTTGGGTATAATTAATTTTTAGACAGTTCCTTTGATATCCAGAGAACAACTTAATCTAGAATATAGTAAATTTGTCTTCTTGGTAAGCTGAAGAAACAGTTCTGGGTTGTTTCAGGAGTCACTTAGGAATTTTATGCCTGACAGTGCATTTTATGTGATGTGGACAAAATGTTTTGGGACTGAGTGAAAGCTTTTGAACAACTCAAGAAATTCTGAAAATCTTAAGAAAATTGATCAAAGGGAATGTATTAATAATTAGCAACATTTAAAAAAGTGATTTTAAGGTATATAAGTGGTGGCTGAACTTGTGATTCAAATAGAAAATCATAATATCAATGCGTGGTTGGGAGTTTGTGAGTCACTTGCAGAAAAAAAAAAAACGGTTCTGTCTGATTTAAAATATCTATAAAGGGAGTGATTGAAGTGATAAACTTTTAAGATTAAAAAAAGACCAGAAACTGGTCACTGGCCTAACAGAACAATGAAATTATACACACTGGTATTTAAAACAAGAAAGAAGAGGTGTGAGAAAGTTAAAAAGTTATGATGCTTCATAGAAACATCTTCAAATATCAGATGTTCAAAACAGAATCACTACAATGCCATTTTATATTTAAATAGGTAATTAGAGGATCTTATATTGTGACAAAATACTTCACAAAGTGATTTAAGCATTTCATAAAATGCCAGATGGGTCTTTAGATATTCCAATTCAAACCAAACACAGTCATGCAATGCATCAACATGCACATAAAAAATCAATTTGGCAATTAGTTTTCAAAGTTATTTTGTATACTAATTTATTTTTATCAGTAATATAATGTATTAACTAGAGTTGCTTCTAGAATATTTCACAGTTCATTTGCATAGATGTCATACATATAAAGTTCTTTTGAGAGCTCAATAAATTTTAAGAATTCAAAAGATTCCTCAGATCCAAGAGGGAGAAACCGTGCTTTAAGACTACATTTTTTTCTATTTTCTTCTGGATTCCTGTGGGGTGTACAGTTGTGCAACCAAGAGGCGAGAAGCAGGAGGAATGAGATGGGGCAAGTTCTTGTCAACAACCTGCTCTTTGAGTCTACTCAGTGTTCACCTCCAGTGCACGTGGTCCCCGTTACAAGTCTCTGGTCATCAGCTTATTTCCTACACATCAATACACTAGGAGCTTCCTGCTGTATGGTTACACATAGGCCATGGAGAAGAACCTTCAGGAGAATTCAGAAACCTCAGACCCCAGGTCTGTCTTTGAAGTTCTGATCTACAAAAGCCTGCTAGGAAGTCCTCCCTCCATAAAAATGTCAGGCCAACACCTTCCTATCAATTTTTTTTTTTTTTTTCAGAACTGTGTCCAGAATCTGAGAGGTCCTTCATCCAGGCTTCAGGATTTTGATTACTTAAATGGAGCGCACGTTTTCTGTGGGTTTACCTTTTCATAATGTCCTCTCTCTGTTTTCTCCATCCTGCAATACCATCTCTTACCATACCTTATTTTGTATAATACAAAAAAAAAAAATTCTATTTCCAGAACTGATGGAGAATGATAGAATTAATAACAGGTACTAATATGTCTCTAAAAAGCTACTCACAATGAAATAGCCAAGTATCTCTATGTTTAAAATATATATATATATATATATATATATATATATATATATATATATAATTATCTATGAGAAAATTCAAACTTGTTCCAAGTTCATAAGTCACAAAAAGTGAAAATATATTGACCAAGACTATGGTCGATTTTGAATACATCTTCTGTTTCATAACTTCTTTGTAACTACACTTTCAAATGTACAAGTATGAACAAATATAGTAGCTCCCTTTCTCCAATCACTTAAAAATAATACTTTAAAAAATAACACTCTTCTGAATTTGATGGGAGTATTTCTGAAAATTAAGACCTAAACATAAACAAAAAGACCAGTGATAAGTTTTAGCAAAATATGTTATCTCTAGCTTTACGATTGCTATAGTGAAGGCATTTTACATGATTCACACAATCACAATGTGAAAGTGTGTATCTTGCAACAAAGATGAATTTTAACCCTGTTGTCATTTCTCTTTCATGACCGCTTGATACTGATTTCGCAGTTGGGGGTTTTATACTCTGTAACCTTTTAAAGTAAACAGACTTACCACCTGAAAGGAGAGCAGGCTTACTTTTTACCATTGGACTGGAACGAGGAAACTTGTTGCTGAATGACAGGAAAAGGTGTTCAGTGAATTCATCGGGAAGCTCGGCTTCCAGGAACGTCTTCATGAATAGCTTGAAACCTTCGAAATCTATTGTCTGAAAAAAAAATTTGAGCGGATGCTTTAAGATCCTGCCAAGTGCTTCAATTTTGCATATGTTCAAAATTATTGGTAGAGAAATTACTTTCAACATTTTATACATTCAAGTTTATAAAAAGAATGTACCAATTTGAGAAATACGTTGGAAACTCTTGATGCTAACTTTGGTATAGCAGGAAGGGAAAGATATTCTCACTTAGATATTCCATTTCCACAGTATCTACATGACCTTAAATATTAGCCCTTTGAAACTTTCTTTCTTTATATTGAGACCGTTATTCCCCCAATCCCCTGAATTATGATAATTAAGTCAAATTACTAATGTGAACAAGACAGTGCAGGACTGTATGTTGCCACCCAAGGCACACTCACAAAGTCATTTATTTTCTTTCTTTCTTTCTTTTGGTACTGGGAGTTGAACTCAGAATCTTATACTTACCAGGCAGGTGCTATGCTGCTGAGCTATATCCCCTGCCCAAGAAAGCCATTTCTTAATTTGTTTCCTTGTCAGTACTATTGATCATTACTTTTGGCAGTTGTAAAATATTTAAACTATACAGTAAGATCAGTTGATATTGTCACAGTACAAATGTTCATATGAAGTCCTTTCAAGAAGCATGTGAAGATCCTTCCATTACTTTCTCCATGAGGTTAACTATGGTATGTCAATAAAATGTTCATTTGTAGAGAATTTGAATGACCTTGAGAACTTCCATGACTACTTAGAGGAATGGTGATGGGAATCACCTTCTAATTTCAACCTTAATGTGAGTGTTTCACAGGAGCTACCAGAGACTTGCTTCGGTCCAGCAGAGGAGGAAAGTGGGTCAGGGTCTGCCTTTGCTGTGTGAATTGAGAACTTGTGTGTGGATGTTCTGGAGACAAACGTAAGGAATGGTATTGCATTGAACTTGGCAAAAACTTTCATGATAAGAAGTTCACTGACATTAGAAGGTTTCCAGGGAAACAGAGATGGGCAATGAAGAAGAAATTTAGAGAATTGTTTTAATACCTTGAAATGACTAATACACAAACATAGAAAAAGACAAGACTTAAAGGATCCCTAAAAGGACCATGACTTTATTACTCAATTTCATTTACTGAGATGAAACTGAGACAAAAATGAAACATGACAGGTTGAGGTGTTTAGTTTTGTTCATAGTCCTCATAGGCGGTGATAAAGTTAATTCTTTAAGTTGTTAAGTTAGAATTAGTCTATTTTCCTATATGATAATACTGGAGGAAAGAATGGTAAAGAATGATCACAACCAATTCTGATTATCTTATTATTATTGCATGTTTACTATATTATTTTTAATAAATATGATTTGTAATATGCCCTCAGGGATATGATGAGCAAAACTATTTTTTAATGATTGAATTATGTTCTAGTTAAATGTATTTACTATGTTCATTTAATTTTTACTTTAATTAATGTAGATGCAAACAATGAAAAAGAACCCTAAAGTTTCACTTTATTAATAATCCCAGGATTGTCTACACCTCAATTTTATATTTTCAGTTTCACTAACTTTTGTCTTGCTTATTCATTTGCAGAAATAAGACAGTATATATTAGTGGTGTAGAGAATCCTTTCATTTTCTTTCAAATTTAATAAATCACCAACACTGCAGAATATTATAAAATTTACTAGCAAAGTATATTACATAGATAAACCCATGAATAATGTGAAAATATGAAGAAGAGCCTTGGATAGAAATACCCTGAGAGTAATTTTCTACACTGTGTGCAGTCAATATTTCACAATACAAAGTTGAACTAACAATGAGGCAACTCAACTGTATTTTAGAAAAGAGCTGAGAAGGACCTACATGTTCCAAGTAAAGATCTGTCAAAGGAAAGTGATCCACGCTCAGCTGGCTGAGTGGCCAACATTGGTGGATAACCCTCCACAAAAATGAAGCCTGATAGAGAATCATGAATTGATTTTGTTGCAAGATTATAGGGTACTTGTGGGAGAAAATATCCATAGACATAGTGGTTAGGGTAGTGCTTCCTCTGTATCCTAAATCTTTTGAAATCAGAGTTTTATTTAGAACTAACCAGATGATAAGAAGCAGAGTCTTTGAATTCAGAAAACCTCGTTCAACTCTTGGATTCAGAGCCAGACTGTTGACACTTAGGCTGCAGGGTCCTTGATTTCTTTATCTATAACATGAGAGTAAGGGTTCTCTCTCGTGCTTTGTTAGAGAATTAGACTATGTTTTTAAAGCACAGAAATGACACTTGCCCCATTTCCAGGAGTTAAAGAATGCAAGCAATAATTGTGTACAGAATCATCAGTTTAAATGTTTAGAATTCCAAAACTATATTGAAAAATGTCTCAAAGTCACATTACCTGACACGTTTTCCTATGCATTTAATAAGTCATGGTGTGGTTCACTGTTGCTAATTATCTTTGGAAAGCAGGCAATAAAATTATAACTTCTATAAGCTAGGAAGGACTAGAAACTACAAATAAATGTTTCTCCGTGTCTCCTTTTGAATCTAATTATATTTTGAGACTTTTATATATATATTGGGAATCGAACCCAGGACCATGCCAGGCAGACACTGAGCTATATCCCCGGCCCAGTCATTTCAATCCAAAAGTTTAACTTGGAGACACAGGAAAACAAAAAACACAAACAAATGAAAACAAGGATTTCAGGTTAAAATGACTTTGTTTCAGATTCTAAGATCCCAGTCTCTACCTGAGGAACATAGGGCAAGGCCTGCATTTGCGTTATGAAAGAAAACACCTGGCGAATCCCAGTTGCACGTGCTTTATAGAGCCTCACACATCTATAAAGAACCACACTGACATCACTGCCTTTAATTTAACCACGAAAACCAGAAAAATAATCAATATCAATGAAAAGGAACTGAAATGCCTGGCATCCCTGCTAACGTCCTAAGGAGCGACACGGGTTCCTCTTGCTCCCTTCTCAGCTCCCTGCAAGACTTCCTCAGCTGTCTGAAGAGTCCTAGCTCTCTCCAGATTAAAGAGCAAAACATTCTCTTTGCTTTTATTTTCTCATGTGTCTGAGTCTTAGTTCCTCTATATAAAATGATGCATGAGATAAATAGTTCAGAGTTGCTGTCTAGATGTAATAACGTCGTGTAAGAGCTTAGCGTACTCTTGGGCACACGATATGTATAACAGGTAGAATTAAACACAGAAATTTGTAAAAGGAAGCACTGCCAAAAGTTAGGTGGACTTTTGTATCTTAATTTGCCTTTTTATTAGTCCAGAAATCTGAAATTCACTGTATCTTCTCAAATTACAACTTCAGATTTTGCTTGTCCTAGACATTTTGCTATAATCGCTCTGTATCAGGCAACATTGACAAATTACTATACTTAGAAGACAAGAACTTAAAAATGGACATTTTAACTATTTTATAAATTCCCATTACAGATATTTGAAATGAGTAAGAATTTTCATGGTTCTCAAATGATTCCTAGGAAATGATGTCATGTTATTTATTGCTAAAATGTTACCAACAGTATAAACCTTTACTCCAACTTCTTTACTGTGCTCTTGAGATCAAATCTTCTCCATGCATTTTCTTGTATTATACTTAAGCTTTCTTAAGTTTTGTGACTTACAATGTTGCAAAATGAAACTTGTTTTTAGCCCATTTAGCTAAGTCAGTATTTTCCAGTTCACTGAGGAGCTGTTCATCCGTGTTTTTCCAAAATAACTCATTTCCTTTCTTCTCCTGTTTGTAATAGATAACCAAATACTTCCTGAAATTCTAAATTGGACTAATGATTAGATATTTCTGATCAATAGATCATGTCATCAATTTATGCATTTTCTTCTCTCATAATTCAGTAAAATTTTTCCAAATTTAAGTATCAAGAAATTTTAATGCTGTCACAAAAAAAGATTTTTGTAGATGGGTGGATTTCAAGTAGAATAAAATCACATCTGCACATGTCAGTGGAAATATTAATGAGAAAAATTGGGTGAGGTTACTTGAATTGAGTGCTTAACATTGAATCAGCTGTAAGCTCAAACACACACGCATACAATGGTTAAAATTTTACAATTTCATTTTAATTTCCTTTTTCCTTTAAGGAACAGTACAGACTTTCGAGGGCAATAACATAAAAGATCTGCAAAGAATACCAAATGAGGAAGCTGCTCTGCTACTGTTTCCAAAATGGCACAAATTCAAGACATTTTTATATGCCTTTTAATATTGTATTAAACTCTTTGGGTCCTTTCATTTAAATTCCTTATAATACTAAGGATACAACATTAGTATGAATAAAAATACATGTTGTTGCTTGATCATTAATTGCTATGGAGATTTTCTCATATTCTGCAAATGGCATTTGAGCACCCTGTCTTGTTGGGGTCCCTTTTAAGGTTTTAAGGTAAAGATGTGAATGGAGCAGACAAAATGTCCATCAAAGAGCTAATCTTCTAATCAAGGGAATAATAAAACAAAATAAAATGTTATTATGTCCACCAACATAATACCATTATATTACATTACGTGTAATACAGTGAAACAGAGGAGGACTATATACATACACACACACACACACACACACACACACACACACACATATGTTTTTAGGTTAAAATCTGATTAAAATAATATTCCTTGGGTACAGATTTAAAAGAAATGACAGAAAAAGTTTTACAAGTGATAAGAGAGAAAGAACATTCCTGAAAGAAAAAGTAACTAGCCGAATTCCCTGAAGTATAAAGTTGCTTGTTTCACAAGAAGAATTTTCATATGGTACCCAACTCCTGCTGGGAGACATAGGCAGGAAGGAGGGTTCGGAGAAAATACCGCTGTTTTTAATAGTGTGTGCATTAGGGCTGAACATGTAGAATATGAAATTACCAGAGAGGAATTGTGGCTTGGAGTGGGAGAAACTATCACTGGATGGGTTTTAGCAGGAAATCTCAGATCTCACTCACTTTAACAAAATCATATTAATATAATAACACACAAATGAATAATGAAAGTTCAC